ATTTGCATTCAATTCTCTAGCTACATAGATTCATAGAGAAGCCTGTGATCTGTCTATATGACGTTTATATTGTCAGAATGCACTGGACTTTTCCATAGCAGTTTTCCACAACAGTAAATTTGGAAGATTAAGTTATCATGAAGTTCATTTTTTAGGCACTGATGAGCACTATACATCTACAGATACTTTTCTCTTTTGCTAAACTTTTGCCCAAAATTGCAGAGAACACTGCATACATGTAAATGGTTCAAACCTGCTCTCAACAGTTACTTATTAATTTGAAGGTGGCTGAACCATCTATTTTAACATGTGGTGGTTGAAAGAAGTGATGTTCGGCATCCTGACTTCAACCTTCTGGTATGGCACAAGGAAAAAATTTTCTGAGTTGTGTGGGAATTACAGATAATGTTCCAAATGTTTCTGGTTGTACTGGTATTGTCACAAGGGCTTCAAACTTCTTTCAAGGGAGATCCTTCTCTTACTGTACATTCACTATCTGTTTCAAATCTATTCGCCATCTAAAAGCAGAACATTTTACTTTTCATATGCTCCTTTTGCTTCCATATTCAATATTTGTATGTGATATACATATAAATACGTATATATATACATAATATTTACACATGAATGATCCTCCCTTTGCAAGTATTTCATCTCTCATCTATTCTTCTGTAACTGGGTCAGGTAGCTGGGCCACTGACTGTGTCTCCAACAGCTTAGAAGAGACGGTATTTACAAAAATGAAGGTTCATCTTCAGTGATTTTCTTTGCAACCTAACTGTGGGCAATCAGTTCTTGTTGTTAGAGCCTGTTCCAATTCCCAGTTCCCACATTTTTACATCCCTGTCTTGTTTTGAACAGCATCATCATGCCACCTAAAGAAGAGATTTCTATGCTGTTTTTCAATCTGACCATTCACAGAAATTAGAGGTGGTACAAGAAGTAGATTACATAGTTAAGGAGAGGTTGCTTTTCCCTGTGATGGTTCATTTTAGCAAGGGAGAACTAAATTCTCCTGAATTACAGTTCAGCCATTTGTGGGCTGCAGTTTTTTTCTCTCAACCAGTAGTACTATGGCATCCAAGACCTCTGTGGACAGTCATTATCAATAGTAAGCCACATAGCAAATATCTGGAATTCTGGTTCTGAGCTGTGACTCCAGGGTGTCCTCCCTGGTTTAAACAAGTATTTAATTTAAGCTGAAAAATTATTCATGAGTTTCATCTCAGTTTCTGTTTAGATAAATGAAGAAGACCTGTACTCTTTTTACCCTCAAAGGGTCTGCTATTCTTCCTTAATTCTTAGTAAGCCTCCCATCCTTATGTATTTGTTCTATCTTATTAGCAGTATTGTTGACAGACCTCAGTCAAGAAAATATGCAATTTGGAAAATCAGAAGACAGTGAAAATCAGAAAAATTAACAAAAGATCCCAACCCCATAGCTAAGCAAGGAAGCACAGCAGATGGCAAAATATAGGTATCATTAGTTTTTAGAAAAAAGGGGATGAGTTGACAACTGCAATATCAAAATGCTTATACATCAATTTTAACTGTTTAGCACTGACATTAATGTGCTGACTTGCTGCAGTCACAAAACATTGCCTTCAGTCCTGATGAATCATGTAGTTATTTTATAAACATTTATCATGCCAGAAAGATCAGTAAAGTGTAGCAAACCTCTAAGTCTAGTACTGTTCCACTCCTTGTTTTTAAGAGTCTTGCTCTCTTGCTCTTTTTCTCCCATTATTTTCCAGTAGAAAATATTTTCAGGCATGTCTGTGGGTGCAGAAATAAAGTTTTCATACCATCATATGTTGGTGCTGAATTACCACTGATGGTCCTCTGCTGCTTTTTGTCTGTAATAAAGTGAGTATTACAGTAAAATCTGAGGGCATACATAATAATGTACGGAAATTCAATAAAATTCATTCTGAAATTCACTGGAGAAAGCAGAATTATGTACAAGAGGGAGGGGGAAATTCTTGAGGTGTAAAACCAATGGTGTTGCCAGATCATGCTGAAAACTTCATCACTGAGCAAAGACCAGGGCAGCCTGGGGTTACTGCCATCTGCAGGCAATCCTAGCTTTTTTCCTGGGTTGCTGAGAAGTTCCCTACCATTCATAAGGCCAGGAATGTCTGCAAGGGGAAAAATGTAGGTTCTGGCAGCTCCTGTGGGGTGTTCCAAGAGGTTCCTGCACTGCACACCCTTGTCCTGCTGATTTGTAGGACCCCTACCAATGATAGACAGTCCATGATGGCATATTAGCTTGATTAGTATGGAGATTACTCAAAAAATCAGTTTGTTCCCACTGTTCTCATTTTGCAGATGTAATGGAGATGGATGATTACCACAAATATCCTCTGAACTGAGAGAGACATAGTTCTCCCAGGGTTTTCCTGGGAAGCTGCGAGAAGCTGTGAGAAAGCTCAGAGAAAGAATTAAAACAATTATAATCTCAATCTCTACACCTGGCAGGCAATCTCTGTTTGCAAAAGTGTTTACAAGAAGGAGTTGTCCCTGCTTGACTGATAGGTGAGAGAAGATTCCTAAAAGCTAATCAGGTCTTAGGTCCACCATCGTTTCTATAAGAACAGTGGATTTCTAATAATAAAGTACTTTTTCATGCCTTCTGATGGTAGAATTTCTGTACTACTTTTGTCTGTCCCTGACACCCTTCAGTGATAGTCTTGCACTACCCAAACTGAGCTGCTTTCAGAGACATCATAGAATCATAGAATGGGTTGAAAGGCAATTTAAAGATCATTTAGTTCCAACTCTGGTGCCATGGGCAGGAATGCCTTTCACTGGACCAGGTTGCTCAAAGCTCCCTTCAGCCTGGCCTTGAACATTCCTAGAGATGGGGCATACACAACTTCTTTGGGAAACCTGTACCAATGCCTCACTGCCCTCAAAAGTAAATAATTTTTTCCTAATACCTAATCTAAACCTGCTCTCTTTCAGTTTGAAGTCATCTCCCCTTGTCCTGTCACTACATGCTCTTGTAAAGAGTCTCTCTCTCTGTCTTTCTTCTAGGCTCTCTTCAGGCGCTGGAAGGTCACAATTAGGTCCTGAAGCTTCTCCTCTCCAGGCTGAACAAGCCAATTTTTCTCAGCCTTTCCTCACAGGAGAGCTGCTCCATCCCTCTGATCATCTTATTGACTCTCCTCTGGATTCACTCCAACAGGTCCATGTCCTTCCTGTGCTGTGACCCCAGAGCTGATGCAGCCCTGCAGGTGGGCTCTCAGCAGAGCAGAGGGGCAGAATCCCCTCCCTGGCCCTGCTGCCCACGCTGCTCTGGATGCAGCCCAGGACACGTTTGGCTTTCTGGGCTGGGAGTGCCCATGGCTGGGTCATGTCCAGCCTCTCACCCACCAGCACCCCCAAGTTCTTCTCCCCAGGGCTGCTCTGATCTGTTCATCCATAGCCTGTGTTGGTGCTGGGGGTTCCCCAACACAGGTGCAGTGCCTTGCACTCGGTCTTGGCAAACATTATGAGATTCCTGTGAGCCCAGTTCTTGAGCTTGTCCAGGTCCCCTTAAATGGCATCCTGTCCTTCAGATTTGTCAGCCACATCACTCAGCTTGGTGTCACAAATTTGCTGAGAGTGCACTCGATCCCTTTGACTATGTCATTAATAATGATATTAAATAAACCATTCCATATACAGAGTGCTGAGGAACTCTACTTGTCACTGTTGGATTGCTGGGCTGTTTATTTTTCTCAGATATGTTATTCCTCAGTCTTTATGTTTAGAAGAAGTCCTCATACTTACACTGTGTCCATTACCCTGATGGAATTCAGTTCTTAGGCTTTTCCCTGTTCCTCAGAGAATAATGTTCCAAGTATTTGTCCACAGAAGGAACTCATGAATTCATAAGTAGAAATCTGATCCTTTAAAATGGATCTGAGAGCTTCCCTTTCCTCAAATGATGGCTGTTGCTTGATCTTTATGTTTACTTCCTGTGTCATCCAAGGCATAATCTTGAGTAATATCACTGTTGTCTTTGTTGAATCAAAGTAGAGAATCTAAGAGAAGACAATGGCTATTGAAGTCTTACCAACTAACACCACCCATTTGTCCTCAGAGAATCCTTTAAGCTGGAAAAACCCCAGGAACATCAAGTCCAGCCATTAACTTAGCCAAAACTCCCAGTAAACCCTATTCCTAAGCACCATATCAACATGGATTTGAAATACCTCCAGGAGTGGGGAATTCAACCATGTCCCATGGACAGCATGTTCTAATCTTTTACAACCCTTTCTGTAGAGAAATTCTTCTTAATAACAATTCTAAACCTCCACTGGTGCAACTTGAGGCCATTTCTTGTCACCCTATCAAGGAGAAATGACCCACCCCCAGCTGGCCACACCCTCCTTGCAGGTAGTTATACAGAGTGATAGAGTAACCCCTAAGCCTCCTCTTCTCCAGTATAAACAACCCCAGCTCCCTGAGCCACTCGTGCTTCAGACTTTTCACCAGCTCTGTTGTCCTTCTCTGGACATGCTCCAGCAATTCAGTGTCTTTTCAGTAGTGAGTGACAGGCCCAAAAGTGAACACAGGGCAGCCTCATCAGTGATGAGCAAGGGCAGTGATCCCTTCCCTGGTCCTGCTGGCCACATGATTGCTGGTACAGGTCAGGATGCTGTTCGCCTTCTTGGCCACCTGGGCACATGCTGGCTCATGCTCAGCCCATGTTGACCTGCATCCTTGAGTTCTTTGCCTCAGGAGCCTTTCCATACACTCACCCCCAGCCTGCAGCATTGCCTGGGGCTGTTGTAACATGCTGGGTCCCCAGAGAGCAGTCCTGCACCTCCTGCTCTGAGGGAGACCATGTTCGCAGCACTCATGGGCTGAATTACAGCAAAACAATGCCATGTAATTAATTAAAAAGCTTTATTTGTGGTAGAAACGATCTAAATCTTATGTAAGTTGAAAGGCCTTTGGCAGCAACTTTTCTTTTAACTAAAGATTTAAACTTTTCTGGACACCACGTGACAATGGTGATTTTTGAACAGCCTGCAGCAGCAGTGGTTCAAACTTTTAAGCAGAGGAAGGAAGAAAGAAGGAGAGTTAGGAAAATACATAGAGAAAACAGATCTGTGTTACCACCCAGGGCTCCATTACTGTCTCTGGTCTCTTTTCTCTGACTGGCAGGTGCATGGATGATGGATGCGTACCCTCACCTCTCTCTCTGCTGTGCTATTTATAGACTAGTCCTTGCATCTGCATTGTGTTATTCTCAAACTTTTCAGAAGGGGTTGGATGGTCTCATGGTTTCAAATTTGTTCTTAAAGATAGTTACCCAAGATAAGGAAGCTGGTCCCGAGAAGCACTATGCTGCCTCTGCAAGACCCTCTTTTCTAACCACATCTTATCTAGTTGGCATGGTGACATTCCTTTTCTCTTCTGTCACAGGTTTGAGACATTAGCTCTTTCAGGTTTACATTAAGTCTTTCAGGTTTTCAGTCCCTCACAGAGTTGAAGGGCAAGGCCTGGCGTTTGGCTTATTGAACCGCATGCCATTGGCCTTAGCCTGTAGATCCTGCCTGTCAGATCCCTCTGCAGAGCCTTCTGACCCGCTGGCAGATCAACACTCCTGCCCAGCTTGGTGTCATCTGCAAACTGAGTGAGGGTGCATGCAATTCCCTCATCCACACCATTGATAAAGACACCAAACAGGCCAACTCCAATACTGAGCCCTGGGGAGCACCACTGGTGGCTGGGCTCCAGCTGGATCTAACTTCTTTCACCAACACTCTTGGGACCCAGCCATCCAAGCAGCTCTTTACCCAGTAGAGAGAACACCTGTCCAAGCCAGGAGTATCCGGTTTCTCAGAAGAAAGCTTTGGGAGATGGCGTCAAAGGCATGACAAAAGTCCGGGTAGACACAGCCTTTCCTTCATCAACTAACCAGGTCACCTTGTTGTAGGAAACAATCAGGTTGGTCAAGCAGGACCTGGGACATGTGCTTCACAAACCCAGGCTGACGGGGTTTTGTCCTCACTCCAGATGATCTGTTTCATGATTCATCTGATTCATGACTCCCCTGACACTCCCCTGAGGTCAGGCTAACAGGCCTGTAGCTCCCCATATCCTCCTTCCAGCCTTTCTTATAGATGGGGGTAATATTTGCTAACCTCCAGTCTTTTGTGACCTCCTTGGTTAGCCAGGGCAGCTTGTAAATGATGGAGAGTGGCTTCTTTCAGCTCTCACAGTACCCATTCTGATGTAGAACTCACTGACTCCATCCCCTTCTTATACCTACTGCCAGAAAACCCTTCATCACTCTGGTAAAGTATTGCCTACCTGTGATCTGTTTCTTGGCTCTGGTACATATTGACTGTTTCAAACATGGAACTGGGCAGTGAGTAGCTTGGAAAAACCCTCTCTGTTACCAGGTTCTCCATGCTGCTGAGGACGCTAAATGTCTGTTGTGTTCCAGCTTATCTTTTCTTGACCCTTCTTAAAAACTGCATTTGCTTCAGATTGCTGAAAACAGCATGCCAAGTGGCTGCAATGATGTTCTACATGATGTTCTTCGCTATTTTTTACTTCTGAATTTCTGTTTTAACACTATACCTAATACTTTGCAATGTGAATTCTCTCTTCTTCTGCATTACACAGACTTTTGAGAGCCTTGTATATTTTGCTAAAAATGTATCACTAATACAGTGTATTCAGAGGCTCAGGCTTCTGCCCACTCAGCATCACCACTCCAGAAGCAAAGAGCAATATTAATACTATAATAGCTCCTATACTGCCTGTTTCTCCTGGCTGACTGCCAGTGGTCTAAACAGATCTGCACACCAGTGGAGAAGTACTTCTGATGTAAGAAAGCGAATTTGCTTGTGCTGGGCAGCAGACCCTGCCCTGTACCAAAGGATTTGGGTAGTGAAATAGGTTCAGGATGTTGAATGTTGGATGGCCAAGTTTTCTTCTCAGTCTTGTGGTTCTGCAAGGTTGTCCTAGAGTTAAGTAACACTATTCCGGTATCTTAAATAGCTCTTTTAAAGCAATAGCTGAGAAAAAGCTGACTATCTGGCCATGCGGATGTTTCTTTGCCCAATTGGTGTTTAGCTGTAAAACTGTTCTGATGTTACCTCCCCAGCCTGGTCTGAACTGGTGTCCAGCGTGTTGTCTGGGAAGGCTGCTCCCTCCTTTGTTTCCTATAAACACTAGCTAATGTGCTATAAATATTGCCCTTTAAAAGGAGTTGTGTCTCCTGGTGTAATTCCACTGTAGAACAGAGTAAAGCCATTACTCTTGCTGGGTGGAAAGAAGGGGAAATCTGGAGTTATCAAGAGCTGCCTCTGTTCCTTTTGCATGTTTTAAAATGCAAAAGGCCAGTTAGGGTATTTCACTAACTGATTGTATCATATCCAAACTTCCTTATCTGGTGGAGGTAAGAGCAAGTATTCATTTCTTTGTGTGTCCTGAAAAAAGAGCATATTTTTTTCTGGAACAAAAAAGAAGTAATGAAATTATTCTTCACAGGAGAGATTACATAGCTCATGAATTGTCGCCACAGAAACCTAAACCATTTGAAAAGCATGTCAAGAGACATGAGAATATGGATTTGACCTCCACTTACTTACCTCCTCCTACACTCTGTCTCAAGTATCTTCATGTCTCTCCTGGAGGATGAGGAGACATATCCCCAGGACCAAGATGGATAGAAGAACCACTTACACAGGTAAGCTGCCCTTGCAGCTTTGTTCAGGACTTCACAGATAACTTCAGTTTTTAAGAAGACAGATCAAAACATTGTATTCTTTCTCTATATGTATGCGAACACGCTGTGCAGGAATCATGCAGACAGAAACATGTAGTACGTAGTTGGTAATACAGCACAGCATTAATGGTAGCATTGAGATCTCTCTGGATTCATCTCCGTTCCATACCTAACAGGCCTACAGGAATCCTAGGTGGAAGCAGGGCCATGGGAATGTATGTATTCCTGTATGTTGATCCCACAACAGCATCTTTTGGATGTGCTGAACATATTCCTGGTACTGCATAGCTGATCCACACATTCAGTGGATGAGACACATCTAAAATATATGGAATTTCCTAGATCTGAGCAGTTCATGAAGCATGAGACCCTTTCTGTGTTTGCGGTGGAGTTATTTCATGAATATGCAAGAGATGTATACAAGAAAAACAGACACAATGCACTCCAGCTCTATTGCTGGTAAAACAGGTGAGCTGTGCATCTAACTATGCCCTTGTTTCTCAATTTCACTAACTTGGTGGCTTGTCTTTGTGGGAGCTTTTCCCCCCTCCTCTGCAGCAGCACAAATTGTCTTCCCTGTGCACTGGGAAAAAATTTTCAGTTACACAGTTACAGCAACACTACTGGTTTTGGTATTAAGTCATAAGTAGAAAGTCAGAGGACTTTACCCCCCCTCTGCTCACCTTTCAGCTAGCTAACATGGATAGGCAGATAGTTTTTTGTGTTTCTGTATTTCATGTTATTATGCTGCGCAAATATAATAACTTATGACTGGTGCTTATTATTGTAGATTTGTCCCAATGTACACAGACAATATTTTTCTTGGACGTGAAAATGATGAAAGAATTTGGGGAATAATGATGCATGTGAATGCATCATTAAAATTACCTGGCTGAAATGATTGAAAGTTTCACTTTATTGTAACTGCTGCATGTTTGCAACAGCATAAACTGCAATTTTTACATCAAACACACAGGAAATATCGATTTAGAATGACTTGAGTTGTGAAGACTGTGACCCACAGGTGCAAAATATCCATATCTACACATTTTTGAACACTTTATTTTGCATAGGCAATGTCACCAGATGGTATTCATTGGAATAAAGTTGGTGAAACCAATAAAAAAAGCTGCTATGTGCAAGGTATGGATCTGTCCTTCTGTGTTTAGATATCCTTAACTTCTCCATATCTGAAACATATGTATATTTTAGTCTTTTTTCAGTGTTTAGGTCAGCACCTTAAGTGTAACTCCAGAGCTCTAATAAAAGGTATCACAGCCACATTTGGTTATAATTTACAGTATTTTTCCAAACACTGCAAATGGAAATCTTTGTCCAAGCCCCCTCAAAGATCGAGTTGCATGCTGAATAAATTCTCTTAAAGGCCCAGATTCAACAAAAATTGCAAGTTTTCATTGTGGTATTCTCTAAGCATTGCTAGGTTTTAGTAATCCCTACTGTCATGGTTTAACCCCAAGCAGCAGCCAAGCCCCATGCGAGCGCTTGCTCACTCCCCTACCAGCTGGATGAGGGAGAGAATCAGAAGGGTAAAAGCTGGAAAACTTGTGGGTTGAGATAAAGACAGCTTAATAGGGAAAGGAAAAGCAGTGCACGAAAGCAAAGCAAACCAAATTAATTCAGTGCTTCCCATGGGCAGGCAGGTGTTCAGCCATCGACAGGAGAGCAGGGCCCCATCACAGGTGACTGATTTGGGAAGACAAACAGCATCACTCCAAATGCCTGGAGTCTCCTTCCCCCCACTTTACATACTGAGCATGATGCCATATGATCTGGAATGTTCCTTCTTTGGTCAGTTTGGGTCACCTCTCCTGGCTGTGTTTCCTCCAAACCTCTCAAGCACCCCCAACTTCCTGACCAGCATGGTGTATAAAAAAGCAGAAAAAGGTCTTGGCTGTGTGTAAGCCCTGCTCAGCAATAACATAAATATCTCTGTGTTATCAACTCTCGTGTTCAGCACAAATCCAGTACATAGCACTATACCAGCCACTGTGAAGAAAGTTAACTCCACCTCAGCCAAAACCAGCACACCTACCCAAGTGTTTGGAACATTGTATTCAATTAATCATCATAACTAAAATATTGGAACTGCATCTAAAATAGTGCTGCTTTGGTATTAAGTTACCTTTCCTACTGTATTGACATGTTCTTTCCCACTGAACACTTCATATAACAAAGGACATTGGAGGGTTAAAATGTTGCTGTTGCTTATCACAGCTCATGTCAGATGACTTTGCAACTTAAAGTTTCAAAATTCTCATCTCCTCCAGGCTACAAATGTAGCTGTTTCTGCCTATCTTCAGATATGTAATGTAATTTTAATTAAGTCTTGCTTGGTTATAGGGAGATGTGCCTAACCCTCCAATAACATATGGTTCATATCCTGCATTCCCTCCTGTACCCCTTAATGTTTTCAAGATTGTGCTACATGGGAAACTATTAATATCTATGGTTAAGAATTAGAGTTACAATAAAACTGTAACATATTTTGAAGTACTAGTAGCACTGCTGGCTTACACTAAGTAAAATAAATTCATAACGCCAATGAGGTCTCCAAACATGTAGAGCTTATAAATATAAAAAATTGAAGACAGATGGACTTGCTTATCATGTTTTGAATATTTTTCAAGAGCTGTGGTTACATCAAAAATGCACAGAGTGTTCTCCAAGAAAGATGATGGGAGAACCTGAAAAGTTTTTTGTAACTCTTGGTTGGCAGCTAAAATGTGAGATCTCTGAACAAACCTCCTCTTAGAGGTGGTCTGAATCTCATTAGCTACTCACTTTTAAAACTTTATTAATGCATTTCCTGTAAAAACACATCTGTATGTGTTACTGGTTCACCCTATTGGACTGTTTCTCCAGGAAAATTATGTACCCTAGGCATGATATACTGGTCAGCATCTCACCAGTGTAGTGGTGCCTGGACATCTCCTACTTCCCAAAGGAAACAGGAGTGCCAAATTCTGATTGGAATGAAGAATTCAAATATCCTAATACAAATACCCTAATTGCATAATTTACTCTATAGTACTTTGACATCTAGACTTCCTTCCTGTGCAGAATCAGCTGGAAGCTTGTTTGCTTTATGACTCTTAGTGTGGTTTGAAAGGAAGGAAAATTATAAAAAGAAAACAAAAAACACCCCTTGGGTTAGTTCCAAGACTATTTGATTTCAGCTTCCACCAGTAACTATAATGGTCTCTAGGGAAAGTTGCACAAAATTACTGGTAAGGGGAAAGAACTATGGTCTTATGGCCTCAGCACTGGTCAGAGAGTTAAGCAGCTAGCAGCTTTGCAATAGATTCCTAGTGTGAAAACACAAATCTTTTCAGATTACAGGGCCTCATTTATTTCCCTGATATCCTGTCAAAAAAGGAACATATATATGTCCCTAAAATACCACCTAAAATATTTTCTTAGTCATAAATTTGGATAGCAGAATTTCTGGAATATGGGCTATTTCTGCAATATAATTCAGTGTTTCACATTAGTGCAGACTTATTCTGCAAATTTCAGCACAGTTTTTCTAATAAGGAAGAATTGTGACAGCGTTGCAAGTTCTTTCTCAGTTTCTGTTTGTTCTGACAGCAGGAGCACCACAGAGAGCAAAGCCAAGGGCCAAGGTGATGCCACACAGCACAGCTTGCTAACACCAAGATGAGCTGCAAGCCTCTGAACTTGGCAAACCATAGGCAGCCTTCCAGCTGTGCAGCTGAGGAATCGGGTCAGCCACCAGGCCAAGTGAGAAGGTAGGAAGAGGAAGGGTAGCATGGCAGCTCTGCCTTTAGAGTGGAATGGTGGACGTCTGGCTCTCCTTGTCCTGGAGATGCTGTGTGAGACACCCAAACAGCCTTCTGCAGACACAGGCATACTCTGTGCTCAGAGCCACAACCCAGCAGCAGGAAGGTGTTTGAAGTAGGTCAAAAGCACTGCCTTGATGCTACACCTCCATGATTCCTGGTTTACTGATATGGGATGGCACCCACTCAGTTACCTCCAGAAGATGTCTCTGTGAGACTGCGAATCTTCCCTCATGGTATTTCATTGTCTCTGTAGGCATGAATGGGTACAGGCCTGTTTGATTCAACTTTCTGTGAAGATGCACAGTATCCAGGGCTTAACACAGTAGTGTGTAATGTATTCTACAGCTGCTCTTCAAATAAGATTTGTGAAACAATACACCATAAACAAATATTTATTGAAATAGAAAATGTAATCATCATATTATTGATATATAGTTGAACTTGTCAAAGGATTTCAGTTGAGAATTTCAATTTGACTCCTCTTTTGTTTCAGATGACTGTGTGTTACAGAATGAACCAAGACAGAGCAGATCAGACCAAATAATAGGTTTACCCCATCAAAAGAGAAATTTTACCACAGAACCATTGTCCAGAACAACTGTTTTTACAGGGGACAGGTTGCCACTTAAAGCTATAAACCTCTGAATCTGGGCTAGAAAAGCAAGGCTCCCTTTGAGTACATAATCAATTACAGAATGAATTATGGATGGGCAGAGTCCAATAAGATGAAGTTTAATAAGTCCAAATGCCCAGTGCTGCATTTTGGCCACAATAACCCCCTGCAGTGTTACAGGCTGGGGACAGTGTGCCTGGGCAGTGCCCAGGCAGAAAGGGACCTGGGGGTGCTGGTGACAGCCGGCTGAACATGAGCCAGCAGTGAGCCCTGGTGGCCAAGAAGGCCAGTGGCATCCTGGCCTGGATCAGGAGTAGTGTGGCCAGCAGGAGCAGGGAGGTCATCCTTCCCCTGTACTCGGCACTGGTGAGGTCACACCTTGAGTGCTGTGTCCAGTTCTGGCCCCTCACTTTGGGAAGGACCTTGAGATGCTGGAGCACATCCAGGGGATGGCAACGAGGCTGGTGAGGGCCTTGGAACACAAACCATGTGAAGAATGACTGAGGGAACTGGGGGTGTTTAGCCTGGAGAAAAGGAGACTCAGCGGTGACCTTGTCACTCTCTATAACTCCCTGAAGGGTGGCTGTAATCAGGTGGTCTCTTCCTCCACACAGCAACTGACAGAACAAGAGGACCCAGTCTCAAGCAGCACCAAAGGAAATATAAATTAGATATTAGGAATTTTTTTTTTTTACAGAAAGAGTGATAAAATACTGGAATGGTCTGCCTGGGGAGGTGGTGGACTCACCATCCCTGGATGTGTTTAGAAAAGGTTGGATGTGGCACTTGGTGCCATGGTTTAGCTGTAGGACATGGGTTGGACTTGATGATCTTCAAGGTCTCTTCCAACCTTCTGATTCTGTTATTCTGTGATGTGCAACCTCCTCTGGTGAAACATTATGTCCATAAAATTTAGAAATACAAGGTCAATTATATTGCATTTGATGACCTCACTACACACAAATTTTCTTACCTGGGGTGGGCTGGTCAGCCAACCAAGCTTCCAAAACCATACCAGATAAAGCCAGTCCCTGTCTGCCTTTCTCCACTGCAACTGAATTTCAGGAAAAACACAAAGTTTGACTACAGCCTTCTGTATTCACCAGAAAACCTGTTGTATATCTTTCTTCTCTGGAGAAAATGGGCCTTCACACCACTACTTGGACACATTGGAAGCACCCAAATGAAAAGCCAGCCAATATGTGTCAACCTTTAGCCTAGTTTAATAAAATTACTGAGCCACTTAATAACTCTTCTATAGTGAAGGAAGACTATAAGCCTTGGCTATGAAATAGACTAAAACCTTTCACTCATGCTCCAGACTTTCTCAGCAAAACCAATAGATTTCTTGGCTACGTTTTGGACCCATCATGGGCCTCATTCTTGCAGGTATGTAAACCTATAAACCTGTCTGGTCAGGCCCAAAGCATCACACTCTCCTAGCTGCTAAAACAACCTACACTGCCAGTTACACACCAAATGGCTTTGTTAGATGCCTGGCCCCTTACAAAGACCTACCTCAGTTACATCTTTGAGAACTGGTGCTGACAGCTTGATTTTGTTTGGTACGTTCTTTAAAACCAGTTGCTAATTTCATATTTGGAGAACTCTTAAAATAAACTTAATTCCCTGGCACTGACTGTTTCTGGCTAATTTATACAAGAGAAGAACATAAAATCCAGGGAAAAGACATACTGATTTTTGTTTCTCTGTATTTTTATTTTTTTTTTTAGTTTTCCCTCCTAACTCTTGCTTATTAATTGAGACATGTCCTCCTCCTAAGGCAGTAACAGAAAGATCTCTTAGTAATAAACTTTATTATTGATGTAAAAGGGGTTCAGCTATGTCCATAAAAACAGAGGTAAAACAGGTGAATTGCATGATATGAAGTCACATGTGAAAGTCATTGCTGGATAAAGTCTGAGATCTGGCCTTTTTCTGTATTCCCATCAAAGACACAAACAAGAGGTACAATTACTGTATAAATATTATTGAATATTGCACCTTCATGAATTGTGTCACTGTGCTGTCCTGAACTAGGCTATCAGATGGGAGGTTTTTGTGCCAAAGTTTCCACCCTAGGCTGACACCTCATAAGAGAACTTTTTCAGTAAAAGCTCTTCCCTTCAAGGTCTTGATGGGCACCAGAAACATCAAAGAGTTGAAATTGTCATATATTGCTACAACTCAGCCAGCAGCTAGAGTTGCATTATGTTTTGAATAAGGCCATTATTAAGCTTCTGACCCTAACTGTTCATTTCTTTGTCTAAAGTGCTTCTGTAGGCTTACAGTGTGTTCTATTAGTACTATGAAACTTCCTGACTTCTTAAGCACATTCTACTTTCCTAAATCCTCCTCTCCCTTACTCCTGGCAGCTCTGGCTGTTTCCCAAGTATTTAGCTCAAGTGCTAGCTGAAGTTGCTGCATGGTTGATGATTCTTGTGGGTCCCTTCCAACTCAGGGTATTCTATGTATATATGATTCTATGATCCTGTGAGAAGCTTCTGTTTGACCATCAAAGCAGCATTGAAAAAGGAAGATAATTTTCTGTGCAAAGGTATTTTAAAACTTTGGAAAAGCTTTGAAACCTGTTGGGATAGAAATTCTTCCTAAGTGCCGGCAAGTTAAAGCCAAACACATTCCATCTGAAAACAGGAATGCTTAACCCTGAGGATGGGAAGCCACTGGAACAATACCTTAGGGGCACAGTGGTTCTGCTTCACTTGGAGAACTTGAATCAGGCCTAGAGGCCTTTTCTAAACATATGTCTTAGTTCAATGAAAAATTATGTTCCTTACAACAGGAAAAACTAGGCAAATCTCTACAGATTGTGCTGTACAAATGTGCCAAACTATGCAGTCATTGATGACTTCACACAGCCTTCATTCAGAAATGCAGTAATATGTAACATATCCACTCACCTGTGGTGAGGTATTGACTTAGAGTAAGTTTGGCCATTTTTTTCAGCTCCTCCTCTTTTACCAACCTCTTCATTTCTTTAATATTGAATTTCTACAAGAAAATACTTTTTCTTCCCCATCTCTTTTACATTAGTTGTTTTTCTGATTTTATTTACCAACCTGTAATGCTGCTAATTCTGAAATAGAATTTATATGAAAAAAACATCTGAGGTTTGTGACTGCAGAAAAGATTGTGCTTTTATGCATAAGAGCTCTCCAACTGTTCTTTCAGCTCTGATATGTGACTGGCAGAGAACACAGAGCAAGGACAGTCTAGTGTGTAAATTTATCTTTATTACAGGTTTGTGTGGTTCTTTTTTGCTGGGTGGAAGTTAGTCTTATCAAGCTCAATAGCAATGCAATATGCCACTTAGCACTAGTAATTGTTGGGTCTTGAACATTAACAATGGGAATCTTGATTTTCCATGCAGTGGACCATCTTGCACGAGCATCAAGCAGACCTGACTGATTTAAATCCAACACTTGCAGAGCTTGAAACCCAGGCTTGTGGGTTTTTTTTTTTCTCTTTTGTATTCCTGTGTGTCAAAAACTTATTAAAACCAATATATGATAACACCACGGAAAAAAAGTGATTTCTGTTTTGTGACTTAAGGTGTGGTTCCTTAAGTAAAGGCTGACTAAAACTTGGGCTGCTGCACTTTCACATTTTGTTCTCCTACAGCTGCATGGCTTCCCATTGTCCCTCTTTTGATAATAACATCAATGCTGTCTAACTGCATGATGGGCTAAATCAGAAGGCCTACCTGTCTGGGTGAAAATCAGTGTTTTAGTAAGATTAAAACCCATTTAATTAATTTCCCTGAATGAGTGGATGACACAGACATGCAGTTATCAACTTAGGTGCAGATGGTCAGTGAAGAATCACATGGATCTGATAGCTCTGACTTGATTTGGCAGTCCTCCCTTCAGTCAGTAGTGCATTTAAAGTAAAGCAATATTTTCTATGTCTAAAGTTTAACTTTGTTTGAATTAGGCAGTGTCATTAGAAAATCAGCATAAGAGAAATACAGAACATTATACAATCATACTGTGGGATAGAACTGAGATGTTTAACACAGAAAATAAAGTTGGGCTGCTCTAGAGTACACAGGATTTGGATGCAGAATGAATTAATAGATAACGATGAGAAGTTAATTTTACGTAATTTCATGCCAGGCACAGAAGAACTGTCTGAAATCCAACAAAGGCAAATGCAGCCTCCTGCACCTGGGGAGGAAGAACCCCAGGCAGCAGCACAGGCTGGGGCTGACCTGCTGGAAAGCAGCTCTGAGGAGAAGGACCTGGGGTTCCTGGTGGACAGCAAGCTCTCCATGAGCCAGCGGTGTGTCCTGGTGGCCAAGAAGGCCAATGGTGTCCTGGGGTGCATTGGGAAGAGCAGTGCCAGCAGGTGGGGGGAGGTGATCCTGCTCCTCTACTCAGCCCTGGTGAGGCACATCTGGAGTGCTGTGTCCAGTTCTGGGCTCCTCAGGACCAGAGAGACACAGAGCTGCTGGAGCTGGTCCAGCACAGGGTGACAAAGATGATGGGGGGACAGGAGCATCTCTCAGGAGGAAAGGCTGAGGGAGCTGGGCCTGCTCAGCCTCGAGCAGAGATGCCTGAGAGGGGCCCTCATCAGTGTCTGTGAGTATCTGAAGGGAGGGTGTCAGAGGATGGATCCAGGCTCTGCTCGGCAGTGCCAAGCAATAGAACAAAAAGCAACGGGCACAAACTGACACACAGGAAGCTCCACCTGAACATGAGGAAGAACTTTTTGCCTGTGCAATGACCAAGCACTGGAATAGATTGAACAGAAGGGTTGTGGAGTCTCCCTCACTAAGGATATTCCACAACTGTCTGGACACAATCCTGCGCCATGTGCTCTGGGATGACCCTGCTTGAGCAGGGAGGGTGGACCAGATGATCCTCTGTGGTCTCTACCAACCTGACCTGTCCTGTGGTTCTGTGACCTTGCACTCATGATACAGCACAATACAACACTTCTCACTCAGTGAACAAATGGGTGGAAAGAAGGAAACAGCTGTAGTCAACATCCTACTTTTGAAGAATGTATAATGACATCAATACCTAAACACTGGCTGAAGTACAAAGCCTACTATCAAAAAGTCTTTCAAAGACCAAAATGAAAGGATGAAACAAAGGACCTTTGTCCTTAAAAAAGGTATCCAGGGTACTTACACCATGAAGTATGCAAAAGATAACAAGGAGGATTGTGCTAAGTAATAATGGATGAAAAACATCACTGTCAAAGTCAGTTACTACACTGTGACTGTAGTCAATGACAAATGTCACGTATGCACAGGAACAGTTTCATGTATGTACACTGCAGAGGCTGCTTGGAGGCATAGATTCTACCTGCATTCCTGAAAATACACAAGAGGTGTACTCACCAGCACTACTCATCTCCAGTCAAAGCACAATCTGTTTGGCAAGCCTTAAGCACAAAAACTGAATTAAGGAGACATGTGCAAATTAAATTTTAGAAGCGTAGCAGCTTAATAGAAGGTTATGAACATTTTCATAGCCAGGAGGAAGGCAGTTCCTCACCGGGAAAAAGCTGAGCAATATTATTTGATTTGTCTGTTCTCAGTGAGAAACAAAATGAAACAACTCCAGAAGCTACCTGTAATAATGGGGGGGATAAATAATAATTCACTTTTGACTTGTATTATATATCAGCCTTTCAACCACCTGTGTCTGAAAGGACTACCAACCCCAGTGCCTTACATCTGCAGGAGGCATTTCATCTGGAGTTTTGCAGTTGGCAATAGTTAAGAGGTCAAAAAAAATCAGTAAATTATGTACTTACAGTCTAGAAATATGAACCAGCAGCAAATTTGAGAAAACTTTAGCATGAATTCTAAAAAGGGCTTCACCCAACACTGTAGATTACTAAGGAGAGTAAATTGTTGGCACCTCAAGTGTTTCAGGACTTGAAAGATAAGTGGTATGCTTCAGCAAGAACTGAGTGTGTTCGTATCACAGAGGGAAGCAATATACATCTTGGGCATGGTATTTGGGAGACAGGAAGCAGCTGAATTTAATGTGTGAAAAAGCAAACCTTTTCTTTGAAAGACAAAGAAAGATCTTTCCTGAGGCATGGATATGATCTCCCTGAGGGATCTGTGTTATCTCAGCTGGAAAAAGGCATTTAGGCAGAGAACAGAGTTCACTGGGATGGAAACTTCCATAATGAATATTCTGAAGAGAGGTCACTTTTGGCTGATCCCTCTAAAAATCAGTCTTCTCCCTTCTGTAGTAATGTCTCTCTGTCTCCTTTCCTCTTTGGAAGCAGTGGTTTGATGACCTGTGCTCCTCTTCTGGTCTTTTGGGGACATACTGCTTTGGGGCAATATGATTTTCACTTCCCTGTGTGGTTGCATGTCTGTCTCATAGAGGTTTTTGGCTGCGTTCAGAAGAGAAGGAATAGAGTAGCTCTAAAAATGACAATGCTGTGTTCATCTCTGCATTCTCTGTTTCCACTAGCTCACTGGCTCTGTGCTTGCTGGTGTGAGCTGTCCCCAGACTAGGCAGAAGGCTCATGTGGCACTACCAAATGCCATTACTCAGGCTCAAGCATACTGCTTTGCTGGGCAAGCAGGCCCCTGCTCTGCTTCACTCTCTGCTTAAAAAAAAAAAGAAAAAAAAAAGTGCCTGTGAGATCCTCCCTGCACAGCTGGATTTGATTTTTCTGTTATTTGTGTGTAGTGGGTTAACAGTGAGATTTTTCTTTTTTTGGTAATAAAATCACTAGGTTGTATGCCATTATTTGAAAACTGACTCCATGAATGTTTCAGAAGGTGAAGTGTTTTAACAAGCATCCACCAACATTATTGGCTATTTATTCAAACTAATAATTTATGCTTTAAAAAAACCCAAACCAACCAGCATGTTGAAAAGGGTGGCGGGAAGTCTGCATATAGCCCAAAATAAACTATTCCTCAGTTCAAACATTAAGCACTTCCTTAAGAGAAGAGAAATCTGTCCTGGCTCCTCACTCGGAGGGCAAGCTGTTCATGGCCTCTCTGGTCTGATCCTTCTGGTCCATTATTGTGCTTTCCCACTGTCTCTAGGGAGTTTTATGCAAATAGAAGACTACTTTATAGTACTAAGGAGTGTAGTAGTAGTAGTAGTGAGTGGTTTCACATGCCCATGTCATCCTAAGCATGTGTGGATAACTACATGCTTGTTGTGGAATTGTTAACATCCTGCCACCGCTTTAAAAAAAAATATTTTTTATATGTAACCAGAGTCCAGCCCTCTGGTGTCCCTTTCCCTTTTAGCTGCATAAAACAGCACTCTTTAGCTGCATAGAACAGCATTTTATTTGTAGCTACACAAATACAAAACCTTTCTTTACAAAGGCTTTAAAGGCTGGACAAAATTCTTGCTTTTCCGTTTTTCCTTCTCCTGAGAGACAAGCATTGTGTTAGCAGGAAGGATAGAGAAGTGCAACCCAAACTTGCTCTGCTTGCAGAGAGGAGTCTCCTGCTCAATCTCTGTTCAGCTGAGGCCTCAGCTGATGTAGTCCTCCCTGCTGTGCTGCACCCCTCCTAAAATCCCACAGATTTTACCAAAATTATCCTGGTCTGTCAACAGATACCCTGGGTATTTGTGTCTGGGCAAGAGTGGAGACACCCTGTGAGACAAGAAGGTTGCTTCTGGTAAAGGAACAAGTATTGTACTTCAGTGAAAAAGCAGGTGAAAATATAAATAAGTGTTTCAGATGGAAAAGGAGCTGCTGATATGTCTCTTTCTCCCTTATAAATATGGATAATTTGGGTTGCAATTGCTGAAATACCTCAATGAAAAATTTATATGAAAAAAATATTAAAATGGCTATGTATATGACCAGACTTGAGATTTGATTCTGACTGACTGTAAAGGAATTGTTGGCTGGAGGTGATGAAAAGCAATGTAGGTGAAATAGTGACACACTGAGATATGCTTTGGTGTGAGAAATGTAAAAGATCAGTAGAAGAAGGAGATGTAGGAGATGTGATTTTTTCCTCCTTCAATTTTGTGCTAACTCAAGTATTTGACAGGCTTTTTGGTTTACTCTCTGCAAAACTGGACAGTTAATACAAAACACTGTTGATAAATATATATAGAGTTAGCATTAGGTCCTATCTGCATACACTGCTGATCTGGGAGCAAACTTGACATTCAAAAGACTTTGAAAGCATCTCTGTTAAAACTTATGTAACTGAATGAATGAAACTTATCTACTCAACTGCTAGCTCAAATGATCAGACACTTGCTGAAAGCATTAAAAACTTCTGGGGAAATTTATGGTTCTGAAAATTTGGAAAAGAGTAAGTTTTTGATTGACCGTCTTCTACAAACAGAGGTGTCAGTGATGCTGATCTAGAAGAATCAAATTTATTTATGAATCAATGTTGGTGCACCAAACAAATGGTAAGGCCTTTTTGCTTGATAGGTAGTTTGCAAGAAGAATCCTAACTTAAAAACTAAACAAGCTCCAACTGCAGTCCATATAACTACATCTAGAGAGCAGGAAAAGCTAGACATTACTTTGGAAAACTCTGGCTATGGCTTCTATTTATTGAGACCCAGATGCCTGGAATAGTTCAGTTGTGCTTTCCTTGTCAATAAGAAGGGCTGGGAGTAGATCTTCTGTGGGGAACCTTTCTGTATCTTTCTTTTGGTCCAGAACTGTTTTTCTTTAGTGAGGAAAATTAGTCAGGAGAGCAAAACTGGAAGCTTGCTTTTAAGGTTGTGAGCACTTTTGGCCTTGAGCAGTAACTAAAGCCATAAGCATAAAAGACAATAACTATACTTTTGAGAACATATACAAACCTGTTCATTTTACACACAAAACAGCTTCTACGCTCGTTTAACTGAAAATGAATGATGAAATTCCCATTGCCTTCAGTACTGTTGCTTGGAAGTCTTAGGTCTGGTCATTGACTTGCTTGTCTGTGTGAGGTGTTACTTCTCTGCAGTATATATCTAAAAAACATCTGCAGAAACATCATACAAGAGAAACTGTCAAAAAATCACAGCAAAATTGCTGTTCCCTTTTAGCAGAGACATACTGTTTGTTTGAAAAGGGCAACAGCTTAGTTTTCAAAACTATTTTTGTCCTTGTTTAGAAGAAATGTTTATTAACTTTTTTTCTTCTTTCCTTTCATAATTCAAACCATTACCACAATTCCTTCTGCACACACACTTCATGCTTCAGGTAGCTGGCAGGTCCATTACTGAAGGTAGCAGCTACCTATAAGGATAGACTGGATTAACAGGTGTTTATTCAAGCCATAGATTGCTGAGGAAAGTTATGTCTAGGGAGCATTGCTACTTAAAAAAAGGAGTTACTTTTATTGATCTTCATGGTCCTTGGACCAGCTTTATACTTCTGCGAGAGCAATAAGGGTAAACCTTTAGCAAATAAGAACAAAGTCAGGCAAATGGAGAATTAAAACATATCTCCAAGACAGGGTACAGAATCTTAATGGCTGGAGAGTTTTACAAAGGAGGTAAAAATCTCCTCTTTCCCCAAGGCAGGTACATCTTGTGTACTTCGTGTAACAGGTGTGTGCTGCTATCATAATAAAGAATAAGGACAGGTTTGCTAATTTGGATTTTGTTTTTAAGATTAAAAAACAACACATCAGACAGTTGTAATTAAATATGTAAGCTGCATTACTTGTACAAAAAGTTATATAAATACAAGTTTGCTGTTTTGTTTTCTCTTTAGAGAAGGAAAGCATCCTTTTAAAAAATAACCAGTAATTCTTATATTACTGAGATGCTGCCAAGTCACAATTCAGAAGACAGACATGTGAAATTAAATCCACACTGTGCAGAGACAACACAGTGGCCCCACCGGATCAGATCATTTGTGTTTATCCTGTGCACAGTTACACAGATACAATAGAACGTGATAGCTTGAACATATTTTGCTTTTACACAAAAGAAAATACTTCCCCATGCTGCACATTGTTAACTAATGTATCAAAAATATCCATCACAGCGTCATCATCATCATTGCTATTATTATGTTATTAAGGAATTGTCCTTCATTCCATGCATAATTATCATTTTACAAGTTAAAAACATCATCCCTCTCTCATGTCATAATCTATAAAGCACTCTGTGCACAGTGAAGCAGATCCCCAATTAAATGCAAGTGCTGTTAAAATTAAGAGAAATACACTATTACTGTTGATTTTAGAGGAACAAAATTCTGGGGAGATTAAAAAAAACCCAAAATAGTTTTATCTGGACAAAATAATGTACAGTTATTAATATTGCACTTTTTATACAAGAAATCCTAATAAATATACAGAAAAGATATACATTTACATACACAGAAAGTCATTATTCTTTTTTTTTTTAAATAAAAAGTTACACTGATGCTTATTTCTTGAAGACCCATTTCTACCAAGCGTGTTCACTCCCAGATGTGTTTTGAAGTAAGCCAATTTGAGACAGATTGATGTCATGAACCTGGCACTGACCTCAATAATGGACCCCCAGTTTTACTGAAAAATCCACATACCATGAAAGGTATGTTCAAGCAGGACTTGAACAACATTTCATAAATATACCACAGGGCACTAGCCCCAACAGGAGTTATAGGAAAGGCACAACCAAACCTTTCATTTGGAGAAGGCCTTGAAGCAAAACTTGAGATCAGGTAGTTCTCCTTTAAAGTTTCACAATTCTCAAACCCTCTTCTTTGTAGATTTCATCTAAATTTTTTTTTTTTTTTTTTTTTCCTTCTGAGCAGAGCAGAGAATGCCCAGGAACTAATATCAGGTAGCACTTCACTAGCTGAATATCCACTGCAGCTGGTCAGGAGGATAGACTCATGGCCTGCTTGCAAAATCATGCTGTGAGTGTGATGTTTCAGTCTCATTTTTTAGACTGTACATTCAAGGTGTAATACCTGGAGTTAAAGATCTGCTTTATAGCACCTGTTTTGTTGTGGGAGGCAACTGGAGAGGAGCAAGTTTCTTACAAATTATTTGCATTAGTCCAATGGTGCTGATACTAAAGTGATTATATTTCAACTGAGTAGTAATAACTATGAAAATTCAGAATAAAGTTCTTTTCTACCAGTTATACAAAAGGCTTGTCTGCCAGAAAAGAGAAATTTCATATTAACAAAACAGAAAACCCTATTTCTTCAAGTTCTTTTCCAAAACCCCAGGTCTGAATGTACCAGAACTTTGGGAAGTAGTACCTCTTTTTTTCTAAATAAATATTATAGGATGCAGTATGCAAAGTGTCTCCTGTTTATCACGTACAATTTCTATCTTTCCTGCCTATGCTCTCTACGGAACAGTGTTTGCAGGTTTGTACTTAAGTGTGTCACCCTACTTGTTCTCCTTTTGCTGGTTAATTATTTACATCACCTCCACACCTCTGTGCTGAGGACAACCCTTCAGTCCCCAATCCTACCTCACAAGCTCAAACTGGAAACATTTTCAAGTGTATTTTAGACCCACTTATGTTACACACCATTGTTGAACTTCTCCAGATCCTCAAAGATTACAAGGATGTCCCTTGCCTGGTATAGGAAGGAGAGAGGGGTTTAGAAATTAAAAAGGCTTCCAATCTTGGATGTAACAAATAAGCTTATAAAGCAAACTCATGTGCTCGCGTTCTCAAGGTAGTCTAAGAGAGATGAGAGCTGTTCAGCAGAAAGAGACCTGGGGGTGCTGGTCAACACCTAAATATGAGCTGACTAAATATCAGCCAGCAGTGCTCAGGTGCCTGAGGTGGCTGATGGCATCCTGGCCTGTACCAGCAACAGTGTGGCCAGCAGGGCCAAGGCACTGATTGTCCCCCTGTATTCGTCACTGATGAGGCCACACCTCAAATCCTGTGCTCAGTTCTGGGCTCGTCACTGCAGGACAGACATTGAGGTGATAGAGCATATCCAGAGAGGGGTTAGGGAACTGGTGAAAGATCTTAAAGACACATCTTATAAGGAAAAACTGGGGCAGCTGGGGTTGTTTAGCTCTGAGGACGCTCAGGGGTGACCACATTGCTCTCTACAACTGCCTGAAAGGAGGTTGTAATGAGGTGGGGGTCAGCCTCTTCTGCCATGTTTCAAACAACAGGATGAGAAAAAAATGGCCTCAAATTAAGCTGGGGAGGCTCAGATTAGAGATTAAAAAACCCTGAAGGTCTCCCTGGACCTTGATGATTCTGTGATGCTGTAATATGATGCTAGGATTTGACTCTGATCCTCTTCCTCACCTGTCTCTTGGCGTGTCCTGCAGTCATGTACACAGATTGAGGGGAAGCCCCACTCCTCTCATACCCATTTCTTGGTGTCATGAGTCTCTCTAACTCTTTGTGGTCTACCCTCATGGCTATGTTTATCTGCATTCTGTCTCCCAGATTCATAGTAGGGAAAACTGGTCAAGTCCCTTTACAACAATGATTTGTCAAAGGCATTTTTTTTTAAAGGGAAATAAATAAATAAAATGAAAAAGATTATTCCATCCATCTGTATTTTCTGCAAAAGCCTTTGCTCAGTGAAGAAAAGGCTGTGATCCCCTTGTTCCTCCATTTTCATCTTGTCTGTCTTCAAGATTTTCCACAAGTCCCACAGCAACGTGACTTAAATTGGGTGAGCTGGCAGAGCTTGAGCTGCTTCACTTTCTCACAGTACCTTGTGGTGTCTCTGCACTCCACTGCCGAACAGGAAACAAGAAGAAGAAGAAATGGTGATGAAGTTATGAAAGAAAGATTTCTTACTTGAGAACATATATCCTTGGGTGGCCAAGAGGAGAACCTTTGTGGTGGGAGGTCTTACTGTGAGCATGAGCTTGACTTGCTGCAAAGACCGAACGTGCACTGCAAGTCCACAGGATCAATGAAGAATTGATAGGAAACATTTACTTTCAGAGCCTGGGGAAAGGGCTTCTGAAGCTGCTCCAACACTGTCAGCTTGTCATCTACCAGCATTTTAGAGAGACTCTAGGAGTTTCCTAACAGTTAAACCAAAGATGAATAACTAAATTAAAGTGGACACTTGTTTTAACAGCGTAGCTCAGAGACACTGTGGCCACACTCAAGGAGGCATGTATGGGAGTGTCACCCCAGCTGACTGGGAGTTGTCTTCAGTTTTTCACAGGTCAGAAACCACCCACCATGAAGATGTTAAGACACCTTTTAAACTCCTCTAGGGCTTAGGTTCTGGTACCACTTGCACAGTTTTTGAGGCCCACAAACTCTTGCTTTTTAGTTTGGAAAACTGTCCAGTATCCATCCCTGCAAGACTCTGGAATCTGGGACATTTCTGTATAGCAGAAAGAGGCTGGAGTGTCAGCAAAGGTCCTGCTTGATATCTGTAATCTCCTTCATTGTTTCAACTTCCATTAGGACCCCACAAACTCAAGAGTTTGGACCTATGTAGTCCACTTTGCTGAGAGGTAGCATCAGAGCTGGTGTGAATAATGGCAAGCATATGTGGATTCTGCTACTGCATCTGCAACAATTGCAAAGCAACTAGCTGGCAAGATAGACAATGCTAAACAAGCGCATTGTCTGTTCTCTTTAGTTAATTTTTTTTGAAATTAGTAACTTTTCTAGTTCTCTGGCAGGCCCAATTTGTTGCTTGTAATTTGAAAGAATGTAGTCTTGCCTGCAGGATTTCCCATCATCTACCTACCTACTGGATTTGGACTACAGCCATAAGTCTGGTTGTGATTCGTGTTTTTCTTTCTGTCTGTACCATTAACAGAAAGTTAATAATAGAATCATAGAATGGTTTGCACTGCAAGGGGACCTTGAAGATCATGTAGTTCCAAGCCTCCACCTGTAGACAGGGATGCCTTTCACTGGACCAGGTTGCTCAGAGTCCTATCCAACCTGTTCTTGAAAACCTTCAGGGATGGGATATCTACAGCTTCTTTGGGAACCTGTGCCACTGTCTCATCACCCCCACAGTAAAGAATTTCTTCCTAATATCTAAACTAAAACTACTCTGTTTCAATTTGAACCCGTTCCCCCTTGTTCTGTCACTACATGGCTTTGTAAATAGTCTTGCTCCATCTTTCTTGCAAGTTCCCTTCAGGCTCTGGAAGGCCACAAGTAGGTCACCTAAAAACAGGGCTATATAATCCCATTTCCCTCAGCCTTTTTTCATATGACAGGTGTTCCATCCCTCTGACTGACTTGGTGGCCTACTGTGAACTTGCCACAGAAGACTGCATGAATTATTTCTCATGCTGTTAGAAAGGAGACACAATCCCAGCACTAACACCATTGCCAAAAGCCTACACAATGGGCAGCATTCCTGTCTGGGATGCTCAGCTTTAGACACTGGATTTTGCACAGGGCTGGGCTGGATGTTCCCCAAGATGCCCAGCTGCAAGTTCCAGTGCTGTGTTTCTGAGAGATGACTCTCCCTTCTCTCCTACTCCTGCACCTCCTCCTCTCCTCCCCTCCTCTCAGCCTCCCCTCCTCTCAGCCAAGTACCGTTTTCACAGGGTGTGATGTTGCAGCGCTGCCAGTTTGCTGGTCGTGGCCTCCAGGAGCAGTGGTGCTCCATCACGGGCTTGTTGGTGCGGATGTGCACGCAGTCTACACGCCGTGACTGGAAGCCGTAGTTTCCGCACGTAGCCGTGCAGACGGTCCACAGGCTGACCCTCCAGTGCACACCACAGACATCAGTCCAGCAGTTCTGGGTGCTCAGTGGCCTGTGGGCAGGAGGGAGGGAGGGACAGCGAACATTACATTTCCCAAAGGTAATTCACTCAAATACTGTGTGGATCAGGTCTTCCAAAGCTGCCAGGTAAGTCCAGCAGTTTTGAACTGCTCTCAAGGACCAGATCCTCAGTGGGTGCACACTGGTATACCAACAGCAGGCTAAATGAACATTTGAACTGTTTGAGGATTTGGCTGAAATTCCATCTCCACAAAGGGCCAAACCAGAGATCTGCTGAAAAGTGAAATGAGTAGTGACCGGTGTGGTCCAGCAAGACTTTGTAATTTTTTTATGGCTTTACATCCAGTGGGAACAGAACCAATTCTCCGAAACCCTTATTTTTCTTTCAAGACAGTCTCACAGATGATGCATAGGCACATTTGGTTCATATCTATTTGTCACACAGGTAGTGAAGAGGCATGAGTGAGAGCCAACAAGCCAATTACATTAATATTCAGTCATGATCATTCATAATTCATGACAGTGGAGTTTATCTCCAGAAAAACAAAACCTGCGGAGACCCCTTGTTTTCTGTTAGAGTTTGTGTTTAAATAAGTGAGAAGACTGGCAACTTAAGAAGATATAGCACAGCCTTGCAGTCAGGATTTGGCATGCATAGAAGATTTTCCAGTTTTTGGCCAACTGGCCTGAAGCTCCTAGGAATAAATAGGGAAGTCCAGGCTAAAAGCCTGATAAGTACAGGCTGCAGCATGACCTCTTTATCACATAGGGTAAACCCATAAGTTTTCAGTTTAGTCACTAGTCCACTGAATATCTCTGAAAAGGGTTGTGGGTTCAGACATAAGACATTTCTTGGCACCCACCTTGGTAAGGAACTGCACTGATGAGATGACACAGAAGTCCCATCTTTGGTCTGGCAAAATATCTGTCGGTGCTGTACAGCCAGTCGTGGTCCAATGCAAGGCCCATTACACTGCAAACACAGAAGATTCACTCGGGGGAGGTAAAAGACAGGACAAGTTCCATTTTTTATAAAACTGCTAGTGAAATAAAGTGCATACTGCCATTCAGAGTCTATTGAGATTTCAACTGCTTTCTGGACCTCTGCAAGCTTTGAAGGCTGACTGTGCAGCCATTTTCTGCTCTACCTTATTCTCCTGCAGCAGCAATTAAACTACATTTCTGCATCTGCTCTCTAGATTAATTAACTCTTCTCTTCAATAATTTAATCTTAAATATGTCTGTTAGGGGAAATAAAATGCTCTCATGCCATTAGCCAAGAGCCTATGACCCATACCGGAAATCTCAATACATTACTTTTACTGTGCATTTTGCAGCACATGAATTGGCCAAATAACTAAGAATGCAGTGAACCAAGGACATATTCCACTCCACTGAATAATATAAAAGGATTGAAGGACAATAAACAAAAGCAGGAAGCATGAGAAGCACAAAAGATATGCAAGCTTTCTCCAAAATTAAGGCCACCCTAACATATTCAAGCTTAACTATTACATTTCCGTTTGACTCTCCTAATCATCTTCTTTGATTAAAACATAACTTGGTATAGTATGAAGCATGTATTTCTGCTATTTTAAAATTACATCAACTATTAGGAAACTGTTTTTCTAAGTGTCTGGAAATTATATCAAAGAACAAACTGAAGGCTGAATGACGGGTCATTAGTGTGAGTCACTAGCTTAAAAACACCATGGGATTACACAACGGAGAACAAAATTCCAGGAACATTAAATGAAGGAAAGGAACTAACTCTAGAGATAGGGGTAGAGCAGGTAGGCTGTTTATTTTCTTTGTGAACTGGTAAAGTTGATCGCTACACCTATGCAATGGGTGACCTGATACCCCATAATACTACCAAGCAACATACTACTGAACCAGTGGCACATTCCTAACTACGTGTAACAGTCTTCTGGCTTGGAGACTAGGCAGTATGCAACCATGTGGAACTTGAATTTTTTTACTGTAAGCTAGGTAGAATACATATTGTATCATAATGCACAGAGATGAGGTCTAAAATTCAGAAATTAATTCTGAACTATCTGATTGTCTCAGTTGAGTATGATGTCATGGGGAGAAATATAGCCCATAATGGTTTTTGCAAGGATGATCCAGTCCTTTCCTTGAAATTTCATAGGGAGTGAAAATTTTCTTCTTTGATATAAAGTGATGATTCCAAGCTTAACTTGCAATACAATAACTCAGACACGTTTCAAGATTTAAACAAAGGTGTTTTCAAGCAGTGAACAATAACACGTTCTAGTAGCTGAAGGCACTTTTTGCTACCAACATTATAAAAAAAAACATGATGCAATGCAATCTGCTAAGAGAAAATGTGAAGATCTGCAAAACAACAGGAAAATGCCTTTAGCCCTCCGTTCTGCCTTTCATCATAAAGCAAGTCAAGAAAGCTCACACTTTTTTGTATTCTCAGGCAACATCAGCAACTTTGTAAATCTGAATTACTGCACAGTCCTCCTGCCTTGAACCTTATCACAATCATCAGTCCTGAATCCAGCCAGTCAAGACTGAAACACTCTCACTGGCTGGTAAGGGGAATTAAGACTTGAAGAAGGCTATTTCCCAGAAGTGTCCTTAATCACTGTAACACGGAGCTATAGACCATTCTGCTGGAGGACACAGCGGTCTGCAGTAAAAGCCCTGTTCATGACTGTGCTCATGTTCATGTTCATTTCTAGTGACTGTGAGAAGCTACAAAAATCCAAGCATGCAGTGCATCATATACAGAAAGAAGGACCTGAACAAACTATCATCTGCCTCAAAGCCTCAAAACCATAATCTAAAGATACTAGGCTGAAAAATCACTACTCTCATTTTATGTCTCTTTTTTCTAGCCCACACTATGGGACTGTCCTTGGAATGCTACTTTGTTCCTCACCTGGCCCCAGGAGGAAGCTGCCCACTCAACACAGGGCTGCCTGTTACAGCTCTGTGTGTCCACAGGGCGCTTGGACACCTGGGCACATGCCTCGTTGGACATGGGGACAGAGCTGCCTTTCGCTGTCAGGCGCTGGCATGTCACTCTCCGCGTCTGCAGGCCTCCACCACAGCTCCGTGAGCAAGGAGACCAGGATGTTACCATCCACCTGTGAGAGAAAGGAGAACAGGTCAGGGAGCAGGCACGTGACACTGTCTGCAGGATCCTTGGCATCAACTGGTCTTTGGCTATTGGACCACAGACAGGCAACAGTGGGTTGGCTCGTTCAGGGTGTGATCCTGGAACATCTGAGTGTCTTAGCCTCCCACAGTTTTCACTCGAAACTGTTCAGAGGATGAAAGCTGAGACAACTGCAAATTTTTCATGAATTAATCTTTCTCAAGGCTCTTTGGGCCCAGAATTAATTTTCTTGCCCTTAAAGCTGTTTTTAGAGGCTTAGTAAATACTCGTAGCCCTGGCACAGGGGTTGTGAAAATCTGCTCTTACACCACAGTGCCACAGAGGCCTCGGTCACAAACTGCAGTGCAATGCTAGGACTAGCCCAGTAGCACCCATTAGTAGGGAAAACTATCTCTGTGTAATTGCTGGAGTAGCTCACAGGCCACTTCAAACTTGTGAGGGAATAGCCAAAAGCCTGCTGGGTCCTGCTGGTGCCTGCCTCCTCTGCTGTACCCCTGACAGCTGGCATAATCCAGAAAAGCCTGAACATTGCTCAGGAACAGTTAGGCCAGGGAAGGAAGGACACTGCTCTTTCCTCTTAAGATCAGACCATGCATTTACCAGCTGAGGCTGAGGCTCTGAACCCCTGTGTACTGGCATTTAAAAAATCCAGTCCAACTAGCTAAAAGGGTGTAAATAACAGAAAATAATAGTCTAATGCATTTTGTCGTTGTAAGGATCATTAGGTGAAATGCTCATACAGTCAGGTTTGGGAAAGCGTTAGGTAGGAATAGGGAGAATGCAACTGATTGTTAGTTTTCTAAACAGTTTTATGGTCAAGCCAGCAGTTTGCTTCATTAAATTTCTGTACACTTGGCAGGATTTGTGTGGTTTTGGGAGTAAAATACTGCCTATCACATCCCTCACCAGCAGTGTTTATGATTACTTTACAAAATAGGCAACAGGCATTCTCCAGTCCCATGGAGAGACATCCGTTTCTATTTCTCTGCCTTCTGCGGGTGATTAACTGCAGTGGTCTCAGAAACAAGTATAAACAAACATATTCCCAACCTGGAAAACAAGAACACTGGTACTCTTATGCAGTTTGGTGAGGCTGAACCTGCAATTTCCGCACTGCTTATAAAGCTCTGGTCTGCATGTCAATCAACTTTTATTTCCAAGCTTACATCTCAGCAGTTTCTCAGGAGCTGAGGGAGGGCTTGGTGTTATGTTACAATTCAGGGAAAGTATAAAAAGACATAAACCATTCCCATGGAATTTATTGTCAACAGCAAGGAAAACTGCTGCTAATGAGCATGTTTCATATTTCATCAAATCTCTTTTGGTTTCTTTCTTATGGCTCAGCTGGAAACTCAGAAAACATTTGCCTGCAAAGAAGAATAGGAATATATTTTAAAAGGTAATTAAACAGAAACTTGGAATATGCCTAAGACACAGCAAGAGTGGAGAATCTGGCCACTTCTCATCAGCTTGCTTAGTACTTCTCCTTGCCTCAGCTTAGACTGTCTTTTTTTAATACAAGTCCTAAATCACTGTTGAATAAATGAATGTCCATTGAATGAGGGAAGTTGTACTAAATTTCTCTTGAGATACTCACTACTTTTAAGCGTTTGTATACTGAACATAACACATCCACATTGGACATAAGGGAGAGGAGGGAGCATAACACTACACTGACTCCTGGATAAGCTCAAGACATCCTCTTCTTTGCACCAAAGGGTGTCAAAAAAAAAAAAAAAGACTTCATGAGGGGTGAAGTCAGAGAATAATTTATGTTGGAAATTATTTTTATTATCATCAAGTCCAATCATTAACCCAGCAATGCCAAGTCCACCAAAAAACCATGCCCCTAAGCACCACATCTACACATCTTTTAAATATGTCCAAGGACGATGACTAAAACGATGACTTCCCTGGGCCAACTGTTCCAATGCTTGACAACTCTTTCCATGATGAATTTTTCCCTAATAGCCAATCTGAACCTCTCCTGGTGCCGCTTGAGGCTGATTCCTTTTGTCTTGTCACTTGACACTTGGAAGAAGAGGCCAACCCCCAGCTTACTACAGCCTCCTTTCAGGCAGTTGTAGAGAGTGGTAAGGTCTCCTGGGCCCCATTTTCTCCAAAGTAAACAACCTCAGCTTCCTCGGGCACTTCTTATGGGACTTGTACTCCAGACCCTTTACCAGCTTCTCTGTTCTTTCTCGTAGTGAGGGGTCAGAAATTGGACACAGTAGCTGAGATGTGCCAGAAGATAACCTAGGTGTAGCCAGAAGTTTTTCAAGCTGTCCTGGCTCATTTGTATATAGCAGTAAGTGAAAACCAGAGGACTACAAGGGCAGAGAGTTACAATCCCAAAGCAATCACAAGCTAGCAAACTCCAAAAAGAGGCAGAATTCAGCCCCCTTCATGCCCACTAGATCTGATGAGATGTCCCCTTTTACAAAAGATATTTTCACCTTGCTAAGGGAATACTTTGCAGCTGCAGCCATGGCTATAGTCCTGCCTGTATTGATTTTAAAGCAACAAAAGAACTCATAATAAAATAATGAAATAGCTGCTAATAATAACAATAGCTTAGCTTCTTGTCTGTTATATTGTTGGGGCAAACTGATATGAAGCCAAAAAAGAAATTATTCTACAGGTCTTTGGTGACAAAATTTCCATGCATTCAGTGTTCAGAACAAGCATGAAATTTATAACCAACACAGGGTGTGACCCAAGACATTGCAAGCTGTGAATTATCTTTCTACCTTGTCCTGTCAAAGTTTTCCACTAATATTGCTACAAAATCCCAACTGTCTGGATTTAGCACTCAAAAACTCCCTTTTAGCCATGACTTTTCCAAACAGGCAACAGAGAAACTGCAGTGGTGTGATGACCTGCACAAAGAACTCTTCCAGCACATCTTAAATGCACGTAAGATATTTTCGCATGCGACAGACGAACCGGGAAGGGCAGTCTCTTCTGTTGCACGCGATGGGCTGCAGAGATGGCTTGGGTGTCTCTCCACAGTAGGATGCGTTGACTTCCACTCCATCCAGAAGGCACCTCAGCTGGGGCAGCTGCAGCCCTCTGTGGCCGCAGGAAGCCGAACAAGCTGTCAGTTTGTCCACCGACCACTGGTACTCTGCCAGGAAGTGTGGGAGAGGCAGGTTAACACTGAAAAACTGACAGCGGGGGTTTAATTAGAATGGAGAGAGTTGAAGATGTTCTCCAGGATGAAATACAGGGATATGGTGAAAGGGAGATACCTACCCCTGCAAGGCACCTGATTAAAACCCCTGACTGCCTTTGGTGTAACAAACCCAGTTTTTTGGTGCTTAGAAGCATCAGGCATGGAAAGTTAATAACATAGTATGGCAGTTAGGTGAAGCCAGATACCACTGAGCATCTGAATTTTTAAAGGTGTGTTACTTAAATGAAGATACGGTTATCAGTAGTTCCCAGCAGTATCTATGACTCTATGATCTTGAAACCCCGTGTCTTTTACCAGACAGTTCACAGATAATTTGTCCTGAAGATAAATGTGGGAATAGCAACACACTCAAAATTTTATAGCAAAATTGAAGGAAAAGTTAAGTTCCTCACCTCTCCATCACTGACAATTGGAGCAATGAAAGCTGCATGTTTTGTGCCATCCCAGCTGCACCACTGTGTTCTTGTGGCTTTTTTATCACCTTTCTTCTAGGAGATCACTAACAACAGCTCCAGAACTTTTACAAGTGAAGGGTTTTCAAGGAAGAAGAGACTGTGAGACACTGACCTTTGAGTATTAATAGAGGGGCTTCTGTTTTAAGAGGTTTAAACTCTGCCACCTCTGTCTTGAATTTCTGGACAAGAAAATTGTCCAAGCTCAATTGTAAGCATAGCTTGAATCGGGAAGGTGTGTTTTGTGCTCAGCAGGGCAGAAATATCTGGTGTCATTTTGGCAAAGTAAAATATAAGACACTGTAATGTACCCAGTAGTCCTGCAAATCTATATCCATGGCAAGAAACCATCAAGACATCTTTTTCCTGATATGCATGGTGATGATTTCAGAGGGGAGAAATTCAGGATGAGAAAGACAGTACAGGGAAGTCCATGGCAAGAGCTTTCCAGGGTGAAATGACTGAAATGGAAGAGTTACCTTGTATAGCCAGGGTCATTACTTGTGTGAGTGAGCCAGCCTCATTCTGGGCAAGGCAGCTGAATTCACCATTAGTGAAATCACTGACATTGAGTATATGAAGGATTCGTCCTGCTGCCAGGAGTTGATGTTGCAGACTGAGAGGCTCACCAGAGTAAAGCCAGGTAATGTTTGGGGTTGGATGCCCATCGACGGCACAACCTAAAAAATAGGTACATGAGAAAAACTTGCTGATTACTAAACCAGGTTTATGCTTTGAAGAGGTCAAAATTAGGAGAAATAGTTGATTTCATCCCATTTTCTCCTCACTTTCTCATAAGGATAAAAAGTAATTCTGTAATAAGGAATACCTTCTCATCATCCAGAATAAAATCCAAAAGACAGATAATCTGCAAATTGGAAAATCCAAAATAGTTTGGAATGATTTATATCAGACCTTCTAAGGTTCCCACTGTTTTCTGATTATCCTCATATTGGTATTGAAGAATGTGGGATAGGGGGGTTATAAACCTGGCATAAACTCAAGGACCATTCTTGAATGTGCAATACAAACACAACCTGGTCTCCAAATTTTCTACATAACCTACAGGACCACCTTCCTCTTTCTCTTTCTTTTAAAAATATTTTTAAATGTTATTTATTGTTTCTGTTACATTAAATATCAGACATTTTTGTTATACAAAAAAATTTGTTGGAAAACCAAAGAGATAAAATTGAGCCTTTACAGGTTTTGTTGGGTTGTGGTTTGTTTGTTTGTTTGTTTTTTCTTTTTTGTCACACAAGAAACAGCAACTGAAAAAACCCTGATGTTCTAAAGCATTGTGTGAGATCTATGGATCAGCAGCACAGATGATGAGATTTAAATTTTCAGTGAGTTCTTTGCCGGTTGACCTGAAGGAAGTGTATCTACAAGACACTTTTTGCTTTTTACTGTGGCTCTTATATCAGCTGAACACTTTGCCAATTTCATGATGAATTGCAGGAAATTTGTGAGACTGGTACAACTTGGGAAAGTCAGCTAAGTTGTTTTGCCTATTTTCTGGGGAGAAAATTAAGAACTAGTTGACTTCCATAGCATAACCCATTGCCACCAATTGCAGGGGTCGGAAGATGGAAATGCTGTATGTGAGGGATGGCATATTTCACTAGGACTGCTTCTGGTTTAGGTTTGTCCTCCTGCACTGATATGTATGTCACTGAGACATGAAAGGTCTCCAAGTTTCTGCAAATGTAATCTACTCTGATTGCTAGTTGGTTATATTGAAGCTTTATATATATATTTTTTTATTAATATGTATGTGCTTGAATTACTATATTGTATACAAAACCCCTTTTGAAAGAACTGTCCTTTATAAGCACACATAACATATATGCATCAGCTTTCACATGAGTACTGTTCAAAAGGAATGGGATAAAAAAAAAAGGAAGAGTATGAATTTAAAATACTGAAAATAGAAGATTCTTCTAAGATGAAGGAATAATCCATCAGCTGATCTTTCAATACTGCCATCTCCATGTAATTTGATTACTATTTACTATTCACTGAAACAAATGAAGATGTGAATGTGAAGTCTCTGTAGCTTCACTACACAATTAACAGATGCTGCAACATGACATTTTTGTTACTGCTCTTCCTTCCATTCTTGTTGGTCCACCTGAGGAGAACTTTGACTAACATATAATGGGCAAGTAAAGTTCAGACAACAAAATATCATTGTCATTAATCTGCTCAGGAAGGTTGAAGAGTTTGATTTTCAAACATCATTAAGACCAAATCCTGGACTTAAGGAACTCGCTACTTCATTTAGGAACCCTTGTGACCCTTTTGAATTTGGTTATACCTGTAAACTAACTAGGGGATTGGGCTACTGTAATCTTTACTTTTGTGCCTTTTGCCATTAATCATACCTGCAACCACACTACTCCTATGACAGAAGATAGTCTCTTGCCTTCTTATAAAACAGAAGGTCTCACACAAGACGGAACACGCCAGTGGTGACTTGTGGTATGCCCCAGCCATTTTCATGCTGAGGGGTACATCCAGATACTCCAGCCACTCAGGAGGATAAATACTGGGGCTCTCACTGATACAGTGGCTACATGAGTCTCTGCTAGTTCCCTGTTGCTGTCAAGCCCTGCCTGTATGCACTGTGGGGAAGAAAGGGCTAGATACAGCTGCCTGTAGGGACTCATTCACTCCATGAAACTGGTATTTCAGAGAGCAAGGGCTCCCCAGCAAAAGACACACATGCACAGTAGACTCTGCAGTCACGATGACAAAGTTGTACTGGAAATGAACTAGTAAAAAATGCAAACAAATGTTTAAAAATAAGGAAAAGGGGGAATAAAAAAGCAGAAGGACAGAAACTGACCCCAGTGGTTTCACCTCTTCCCTTTTTTAACTTTTATTTATAAGGGTGAAGAGTCTGCTGTTTGTTTTAATTTCTTTGGCAAGATCTAATGCAGTTTCATCCTTGGCAGTTATCTCTACCCAGCACTCCCTTCCTGACAAGAAAGACACAGCATTCTCTGCTGCTTATTCTCTTACCCTTAATTTTGTAAGCTCTCTACTCCTGCTGTTTCATTTTTTCCCACTTCTGTGCTGAAAAATAACTCATGCATTTTCCAAGATACTCATTCTCAAGTAAATGAGTGACATGAAAGGTTTTAGCCTTATAGTTTAAAAGTTGCCTAAGTAAAAACAATGAAAGACAAAGGAATATAGAGGAAATGGACAAACTTAAAAAGTGGCTATATGGCTTTTGCCTAGATTATTCCATTTTTGTAGTTTACTTGTCCTTTAAGATTAGTGTAGTGATTTCCACAGGTCAGCATATAGCCACAGAAATTAAAACAGGCATGTAGTGAGCCCAGTTTTATTGTTTGCATTTGCAAGAGTTTGCAGAGCGTAAATGCAGAAAGCAGAAAGGTCAGCTTGATGCTACACACAGATGGGATGAACCTGAATTCAGCATGCAGATGGTCCCGGTTCATGCTGTTTGTCTTTTAAAAAAATATGGTTAGGAAACACAATACTGTCTCCTTAGTACTGACTATTTTACTAGTCTAACATAGTATTTCTGCTTCTAAAATGTATATATAAAATATTAGCTAAAGGAACAGCCAGTAATCAATAGTTTGGGGGAAAACTCTCCAAAGCTATTGCCTAGATATGCACTACCAGCGAGTGATTACTACTTAACAGTAAAACTTTACTAATACCTATTTCTCACATTTCACAAGTGACATCTACTATATATTTTCCATGTGTATGGATTCATAGGCTGTGGGATAATATTTTATGCATAGTAAGTGAGAGATAGAGTACAATAAAATCTCATGTTCCATCAATATCTCCTTATCGTCCAGGAACAATTTTAATATAATTTAATGCAGATTACTAATACTTTTTATTTCCCCAATCCCTATGGACATTGACTGTTTTATCCTTTCAAAGCTCAAACCCCATCCATATAATGCCTAAGAAGGAATAGCTGTTTTTGTTTCCAGACACCACAGCTATTGCAGAACTTTCAGGTGTTGGAACCCTTGGGAAGATGATCAGGGAACACACTTCTGGGACTGTTTGGAGCATTCAAAGCTCTGGCATGAGAGGGCCTTTCTCCTTCAGTCTTAAGCAGAGAAAGAAAATACTTCAGTCCTTAAGCAGAGAAAGAAAATACTGCCTTCATCCTCCCTTCCAAAGATTACTGGGACTCTGAATTCATTCAAAGCCAGGATGAACTACTGATGTGCAAAAGCTGGAGATAGAAACAAAAATCTAATAAAAATGACATCTTCTAGTAGGGAAAATGTTAACAAGGATAACGAGGGCATATTTTGAAAGGGAAGACTGATGTTCCACAACAACTCCAGCAGTTTCTCGAGAGGAAAGAATAAATGCACACTCCAGGATAAATTTACCTTTGCACCACCAAATTCCCCATTACACTTTGCAACAGTTTCTGAATGACTGTAGCTGCAGAAAGGCTCTGGGCTAACATGCTAAGACTAGGAGAAGAAAATACAAAACATACACCACTTTTGCACTTTCAGACCTGATAAAAACAAATGCAAAGGCCGTTGATATTAGGATCCCTTTTCTTTTTGGCAGCACAGAAAACATCAAGTGAATAAAAATATAAAATAAAATATAAAATAAATATAAATAATATATAAAACCATATAAAAGTTGAAATAAAGATATATAAAAATAAAAAAAAATAAATATAAAAATGTGAAGTGAATTTTGCAAGTGCTAAATACATTTGAAATATATAAAAGTAGAAATAAAGATATATAAATATAAAAAAATATAAAATAAAAATATAAAAATGTCAAGTGAATTTTGCAAGTGCTAAATACATTTGAAAATGTAAATTTAAAAAAACCAAACCAGCACTGCCTTTAAAATAGGTATCTATTCTTAAAATATAGATTATTTTCAAGTCTTCATATTTGTCTAACAAATAACACTCTAATTTACTGTTGACAGGATGATTAGCCCCAGGAAATGTTTCTAATATTTATTAAAGATGGAATCTGAGTGAAGACTTCAGGCCAAAATCTGGTAGTTTATTTGATTTTGTATTTCTGTTATTTTACTGACCTCTAACAGAAATCAGTTGTGGACCACAATAAATGGTATTAAAATAATAAATGTAATGCTGCTACAAGACTTGAAACTTGACAGTATTTCCACTCTAAACTCTACATTTAAGAAAAAAAGTATGCTTTCAGAACAGAAATCAGATAAAGGATGAAGCGAGGAACAAAATGCTTTGAACAAACTGTGGAGAAGCCACATATCAATCTGAATAGAACAAGTTTGGTGCTGAACTACTATGATGTGGCTGAGACTGTGCTACTGTGTTCACACTGTGTAGGTGATTACTGGTAGTGAGAAACAGTTCCCCATTTTCCTCTCAGGGCTAATTTTCTCCTTAGCTGACTGAAATGATAAATGCACGTTAAATGGAACGGAGTTAAAATTCAATTCCACCTTGTATGTAACATAAGGATAAAAATTGACAGGATGTATTCAACTTTTAAACCAGCTGGAGGTAGGTAAGATCATGTTTGAAAGTCACATGTGTGTAATACCTGTTTTGCTGAAGAGGCAAAACTAAGAGGCATGTCTTTGTAATTTTTCTAATGGGAAAAGATCTTTCAATATACTATAAAGTGACAGACACAACTGT